CTGCTCGACCGGAACTCGTTCAGACTGATCACTGGGTCTGTAGATCCGTAGATGAGCATTTTGGTATTTCAAGAACCGACTGAGTCGTAGGAAGTGGAAAAGTCGAGATCAGCCTTTAATCTTGGGTTCAAAGCATCGTTTCAACTGTCTCCGCCTGTACGCAGGGTTACCAATTGAACATTCGTAAGGATTGCAATAGTCCGTGCTCATAGTGACTAATCACGGCGCAAGTAGGTAAAATGACAATAGACGGATAGTAGAAACGTAAATCGAAGCCAGACAAGAATTTCCCTGAACTAGACAGATCCGAGTATTTTGGAGTACTTTCATGATTGCCTCGCAAATAAATCCCTAGATTCGTTACTAATTGATCACGGAAGTAGATAATCTCTGTAATCCGTAAGACGAGACAGATGCGATCTTACATACAAGGTGGTACCGCGAATACCAGGTATACATTGAACGTAGTACCAAATTCGGTAGACGTCAATAACTTTCGATGTACAAAATCGTTTAAAGTAAAAACATGAAGATAGTTTAGGATTATTGGTACACCCTATATATACAGTGACTTAAAGTCCGACGAGCTACTGATTATATTCACTTTCTAAATAGAGTCGGACTGATCGACGATAAATCTAATCCCCACCCCTTAAACCCGTTTGGGACTGTTCCCGATGGTCCTGTTCAGCGGTTAACCTTGAAGAAGAGGGTTGGCGAAGCTCCCCCCTGAGGAGGTAAAACGAAGCCGTTGCGCAATACCGAGAGATTCTCGAGCGTTCGATCGGCGTCGTGGCACCGGAAGCCCCGATCACCCTACCAGCAGTAGGTATACATGAGTACAGACATACCTACTGGTTGAGTGGCGTGGTCAGGGGTTGAGACAGGCGCGAGGGGACGGGACCGTCGCGAAGCTCACCGAAACCACCCGAAACTTGCCGAAGTCTCAGAGGACCGGTCTCGGCTTCTCCGGTCCGCGTGGTAACGTAAGTACGTACTATATAACCTGGCCCGATACCGTCTACGTAACACATTGAATCTTGTAAGAAGGAGGGCACGCAACCGAGCGACGGTAGAGGCTCGGATGAGATCGCGAGTATTATTCGGAATCCCAAGGTCATCTGGTTTTGTAAACACTATCGTCCGTAGACCGAGTCCGCGTGCGTTGGACATTTCTTTAGCACAGCTGTGGCAAAGGGCGACGAGGTAATATCGCATAGCCGCACATGTAACATCGGTTACCGTAGGTTACTCGTGTTACGTGGGCTCGTAGGTAATACATATGGCGTAACGATATACGATATACGTACGTAAGGCAGGACCTTTATTGTTGACGTCGGTCGTCAGCAGACGACGCTATTACCCGCGTCCGATATTAACGCTCGAGCGATGAGCATGCGCCAGAATATCTGATGATTCGGTAAGCAGCATTTGGTCAGGTCGGCGAATGTGCGCGCGGGGGGGGGAAGGAGGGGGCACAGAGGGAGAGAGTGGGGTTGCTGGCGACCGGCGGTAGAGGGGAGGGGCGAAGGGGGGTGTATAGACGTAAAGTGCACACACCCACCCTGGAATGCTTGGATATGGCGTAGGAGACATATATAGCCTTCCTTCTGCCCGTTCTCCTGGTGCGCTCTTTTGAAGGTCAAGGTTTGCCAGCCCTCGCGGTGAGCCGAGTTACGGGCTCTCGCCACCCTGTGCGGGGGTGGCGCATTCGTAGCTCCCTCCTACTCTATCGCGATAATGGTCGCTGTCTCTTTCTCTTTCCGAGGGTGATTCGGGGGTGGCGAGAGCCCGGTGCCCAGTATTTATAGCGCCTGGAGAACCCGGTCGATAGCGGATAGCGTCACTGCGCAGTTTAGAAGCCCTCTCGCGCACTCTTCTGACCTCCCTTGCCCTTCGCTGCTCCTCGCCCCTTGAACATCCTTCGGACTCTCTCTCTCTCTCTCTCTCTCTCTCTCTCTCTCTCTCTCTCTCTTTATTGTTGTTCTTCGGTCCTCTCGCTCTTGCCTGCTATTTCTGCCTTACTGGGCCAGCCAGGAACCTGGCTGCGGATTCTTTCTCTGCCGTAGGGCTGACGCCTCTCGAATTTTCCCGACCATCCTAACCTCGACGCAGAGAAGCACCCTGCCCACAGCTTTGGCTTGGTACTCCTTGGTATCCTGGCAATCATCCCACTTTCTCTCTGTCTATACTCTCATCCCAGCTGTGACCTACGTGATCTTTCGCCCTTCGGAAGCTCCGAAGGAGGGCGATTCTACGCCTATCTCGGATACCCGGATGGGGGTAACTCCTTTCTAAGTTAGTGGGGATGATCCCCTTGGAGAATGCACGAGAGAGTAGAGGAGCTATTTCCACCTGCACAAGATCATGGCAAACATATATAGGTAACAATACTCGAGAAGAATCGTTTTCCCTACCCTTACGCAACGACTCCAGCTGGCTCCGAGTACACCCTGTACATTCTTCGTCCTGTGATACAATAGGGCCTGGGGCGTAATCCTTGACCAAGTGACATGCCGTTTTTCTCTGGGTGGACTTTATGCCAAACTCTCTCGCGGCTACTGTAATCAAATGTTACAACTCCAGGAACGTCATTGGTATCGGGAAATAGGGTTTCCTATCGGCCCTCCAGCACGCAGGGGAGTCCGGTATTTCTTGTTGTTGTTTTTTTTTCTTTTTTTCTCAAACCAAGCCCGAGCATCGCGTCCTGCCAAAGAGCTCCCCCTTCTCCCCTTTTATCCACCTCGCGTCCCTCAAATATCCGCGGACCCACAACCCTGGCAGAGGGGTGCAGGAGGGAGTAATATTCACCAGCGACCCCTATTCCAAGGAGCGAGTCTCACTCCAAGGTTCCCGGGGCGGTGGGTTAAAACGGACCTGCGCCGCCCCTCGTGGGGCGGGGGTAAGTGCATTATCATCCCTTTCGCGGCGCTCCCGCGCATCAGTGCCGTAGCCACCCCTTCTCTAGCGCGAGCCAGGGCTCCGGCGCGAGGGGCTTAGTGGGGCACCCCGAAAGGGGCACCGGCTCTCCCACGTTCGCCTACCGCCGCGAACGGGGCGCACCAGCAGCACCAGGCAGCTGTAAAGGCCACGACATTGCTGATCGCGGAGCCCCACGTTCACTTGTACGGTTTCTCTTCTTCCTCTTCTTCTTCTTCTTCTTCTTCTTCCTCCACCGACTTTGCTCCTCTTCGTTTTCATTCTTTCTCGTTCCAATCTTCCGGTCTCCTCGTCGCATCCTCGAGAATGACTCTGACCGTGAGTCTCTTCACGTTGTATCCGTCATTCATCGACCTGGACGCATTCCGCGACAATAACATCCCCTTTCTGCATCCCTTATCGGATTTCTATGCAGTCCCCTCAGACGTTACTTGAAAACCATGTATTTACGATTTATCGTCGATCAAGTCGTCCGACCAATTTCGATCGCTACGTTCCCGTCGTTCGGTAATTGTCTGTCCTCGACGTCGCAGCAGCTTCGTCCGTTCAAGATTGAGAAAAGTTGTCTCGTGAGTACTCCCCTTTAAGGCTGTTTCATAATTTCTTTTATTATTCACATATATCAATACAGCTTATTTTACTCGTATTTCTGTAAATGACGCTTGTATATGGTGTTCATTTTTTTTTTTTTTTTTTTTTTTTTTTTTTTTTTTTTTTTTTTTTTTTTTTTTTTTTTTTTATTATTATTTATATTCCGTTGGGATCACTTTTTTTCGTACTCGTACAATTTTCGAATTTATTAGCTTTTTTCAGAAATTTACGCGACCACGGTCACTATTCTTAGGTACCACCGAACGCTCCCAAGCACGCGTTGCTTTACGGTTTACATTCCCAGTTTGTTCGTGACGGTATTCAGTTAGTTTCAGCCAGAGACGTGTTTACCCGTAGATACTGTATAATCGGTATGTCGTCACGGTGCATTCGCGATGCTCGTAGTTTCGTTGTGCACGTTGACTTTAATAAATTAGTATGGGATATGTAATACGGTCGCACGATTTAGAACGCACCCAAAACTTAACGCTCGCTGTCAATCTAGAAACGACGTTTTCGCGCTGACGTCAAATAGGGGAGCGATCGATTTAAAAAGGAAGGTAAAGCAAAATTTCGTATTTCGCCTTAAAAAATAAAGACAAACCGGCTTTTTTCCCGGAAATTACGTTTCTGTCCTCCTGGAATAACTTCCTGCTTCATTTGCTTCTCTGTTTCTCACCCTCTGCTGTATACGTATATCTACGTATGTCCGTACATAGATAATAGCTGATGGAAATATCGGAAGTGGAAATTTTTTTTTTTAATAATCATCTTTCCCCTTGGTCATTTGCCGCGAATTTTTTTCTCGCTATTTACGCGAAACACAATATTTTTTTTTGCCACGTATCCTAATGCACGCTAATTTATAATTTACCAAAATTTCTCGATTGTAACGAAAAATATCCGATTATCTTTATTCCTCGTTCTTCCTTAGTCGTTTTTCGAAAGGTCATTTGTCGTTAACAATACACATATGGAGTCGATTATTGTTAATTATCGAAAAAGATCCAGTCTAATAACACGAACAGACCACGATATGCAAATTCGTGATTCGAATGTCCGCGACCGAACGCACAACGTTGCGAGGTATGGTCGATTGGTTGTGATTTATTGATATTTTCGAAAAAAAGAAAATCTACATTTTTTATTAAGACAAAAGGAGATATATATATCGATTGTCAACGAAGACGAGATTGTTACGTATTGAACTTTTTTATACGCGTGTCGCCGCGCGACCTGGCGATAAACTCGTATCGCGAATCACTGCCATTGGCTGGCACCGTCAGTGACGTCACACGCCGTGGCACACAGAGCGCTTGCGAAAATATTTTTTTTCCCTCTTTTCTCTCCTTCTCGCTCCCTCAGCCAGCAACGTCGTATTCGTCTTGGCTCTGAGTCATTCTTGCTTGTTCAATGTTTTCATGGCTCTCAGCACTGACTCTCCTTATTTCTCTTTCTTTGTGTTGCAGTGAGCCGACTGCATTGCGAATCCGAGTCCTTCAAGATGGATCTCATCCTCGACATCAACAGTTGGCTCTACCCCATGGAATTAGGTGAGCGAGCAAACCTCCTCGGTCTACGGACGAACAACGGATATACATATACGTTTTCTTTGATTTTTATTAAATTTTACTTTTTCTTTTTCTTTTTTCATCTTTTTGCTTCTTGCCTATTGCCTACATCCTGTCTTGCTCTCTCTCTCTCTCTCTCGCTCCCTGATAACGAGGGCCCAGCTGTCGGTTTTCTTTGGTCAAGCTTTATATACGTTATGGTGACGTTTGGACTGTGATGATTCTATTTGCTGTATGGTGCGAGGTATCTATTAGGCCTTTGTTCAAGTTAATCAGGAAATCATGAGCTTCCAATGTTGGATGTCGATGATGGCGCTTAGACTCTGCTGGAGGAAATAGCAAGGAATCGATTCGTCTTCGTATGACTTTGTCCGCTTTTCTTTTTCTTTTTTTTTCTTTTTTATACTTATTTTAAGAATTCGCTGGAACGAGGATTCCTGGTAAGGTTGATCTTAATCGTCTGCCGTTTATAGCTCGAGAAAGGCCACACGTGGCAGCCATAAAAAAAAGACTTGTTTTTTAATGCTTTAACGAAAATTTGTATTCTTGATAAGAATGTTGGTCTTTTGATATTTTGTGGGTTAGTCGGTAAAGAGCGAGAGAGAGAGAGAGAGAGAGAGAGAGAGAGAGAGAGAGAGAGAGAGAGAGAGAGAGAGAGAGAGAGAGAGAGAGAGAGAGAGAGAGAGAGAGAGAGAGAGAGAGAGAGAGAGAGAGAGAGAGAGAGAGAGAGAGAGAGAGAGAGAGAGAGAGAGAGAGAGAGAGAGAGAGAGAGAGAGAGAGAGAGAGAGAGAGAGAGAGAGAGAGAGAGAGAGAAGATAATTTTTGCGTGACAAAGGATACCGTGAGCTTTTTTTGGTTTTGCCTATTGGTAGACAATTTTCAAGAGTCCGTGTATTTTTGCTAGTCTCGGCGACAGCTGTCTTGCTTTCGGTGTGTCTGGCCGCCATGTTTATTTACATCGTAGACTCGTGTCGATTCGCATGTAAAATTTGTGGATCGATAGACGAATTCGACAGAGATTGCTAGTAGAACTTTATTAATACATTCATTGTGTAGGAAATTCTTGTATTTTTCAAATGTTCTAATGTTTTCATTTGTTTCTGTTTTATATCCTTCGACTACGTGTTTCTATCATGATTCTTGAATTTCTTCCGTCTCTTTATTGTCATCCTTGATTTCTTTTTTAGCTTTCTTCTCGTGCGCTCATTTCGGTTCTTGAGTTTTTTTTTTTTTCAAGGTCTCCTTGACTCGAAAGAACTGCCTCGCCCGTGAATTTTTCAAAGAATTGTATCGCGCGAGTAACGCGCTTTCAGTGGTCCCTCGTGACCTCGTTGCCTTTTATTTTTAAAAAGGAATTCAAAGGAGCGCTGTTGCGTAATTTCCGGCAATCCAGAATGCGACAAATCTCCCTAAGGATTATGCCAATTTTGCGAATAGATTCTTACAGTGAAAGACGAAGGTTCTTACCGATGAGTGACCATTTCATTAAAAAAAAAAAAAAAAAAAAAAAAAAAAAAAAAAAAAAAAAAAA